AGGCCTTTTCTTGTTTTGTTCGCCCGTGTTATTGAAATGTTTTATATGCATTACAGAAAAACACACGGATCTTAAGTGTGTGCTGCTCGGCTGAAAACTGCACCCTTCCCGGACCAAGAAACAGAACTTGGGTTGCAGAGTTTTCGACTTTGCAGCTGCCGGTGCGAGGGAGGACCGCGGTGGGCATTGTTTAAGACTTTCAGAGGCACAACCCATGTATTAAAAAAAACACACACAAAAAACAAAAACCTCAGTAAAGTGAGGACGATCAAGCTAGACATTAATCAGGGTCCTGCAGGGTAGGAGCTGGGCTGCTGGGCGGGTAGGAGGTGCAAGGCGCCGTTAAAAGTAAAGGGATCTTGTTGGGTAGCTGGCGGGGTGCGGAGGACCCCAAGTGCGAGTGGATTGGACCGGAAATGCTGTGGCACTTGCGGCGAGGGGAGCGCTCCTGGCTGCAGCGTTAACCTCGGAAGAGGGACTCGGAGCCAGTGCGCTGGATATGGAAAAAGGCAGGCTAGTTGTGCCATGAACTGGGGACCCTTCCACAGCAAACGGGGTGTTCCTGACACTCCTGTTTAGCTGCACAGTTACAGTTAAAACAGTCTATTTTTAAAAAAATATATTTTATTGATTTTTTACAGAGAGGAAGGGATAGGGACAGAGAGTTAGAAACATCGATGAGAGAGAAACATCGATCAGCTGCCTCCTGCACACTCCCTACTGGGTATGTGCCCGCAACCAAGGTACATGCCCTTGACCGGAATCGAACCTGGGACCCCTAAGACCGCAGGCCGATGCTCTATCCACTGAGCCAAACCGGTTAGGGCTAAAACAGTCTATTAAAGGTTGAGGTGAGGGACCCAGAAACCCAAGGTCATGTTGAGAGCAGGGGGTTTCCATGATCCTCGGTGAAATATCTAGCAGCGGTTCTCAACCTGTGGGTCGAGAACAATGAAAATACATCCTGCATATCAGATATTTACATTCTGATTCATAACAGTAGCAACATTACAGTGATGAAGTAGCAACGAAAATAATTTTATGGTTGGGGGTCACCACATGAGGAACTGTATTGAAGGGTCGCGGCATTAGGAAGGTTGAGAACCACTGATAGGGCTATGCTTGTTGACTGGCTGCAAGGGCCTAGAGGAGAAGCCATTTGCCTCACAGCAAGCTTTGTTGGAGCCCTTGATTCCATCAGCAAACATTCGTGAGGTGTCTATTCCCTGTGATTCTTGTTGGATTAAGTCCTAAACTGATAGGCAAGGATCCTGCCCGGAGCCCAGGGTAGCAGCTTAACTGCTGGTCTCGGAAGGGTGGAGGCATCTTCTTCCATCCTAATCTATTACCTCTCTGAACCTTTTTCTCTTTCACAGAAAGAGGAAAGAATTGAAATTTAAATAAAAGCCAGCAGCTGGCCCGGGAGGTTCTTATTACAGTCCTCAGAATTTTTCAGAACAGGGAGTTAGGGTTACCTGCTTCGTGATGTATTTATTCAGGGGGAGGTAAACAGAAGTGGGCCACATACTTCAAAAAAAATGATTTTATTGCTTTGAGAGAGAGAGAGGAAGGGAGAGAGAGATAGAAACATCAATGACAGAGAAACATCGATCTGCTCTATCATCTGCCTCCTGCATGCCCCCTACTGGGGATCAACCCGGGCATGTGCCCTGACTGGGAATCCACCTGCCGACCTCTTGGTTCACGGGCCTACGCTCAACCATTGAACCACACCGGCGGTGCCACTTTTAAAGGCATCTAAAAATAAAATGGATTTGATGAATGGATAGATGCACAGATGTGGGGAAGCAAATAGCTGTAACAGGCACATCTGCATGGTGGGTATTTAGGTTTCATTATATTTAACTTTTCCATGTTTAAAAAATTTCATAATATGGGGTATAAACCTGAAATGTATAGATACAGACAACAGTGTGGTGGTTACCAGAGGGAAGGGTATGGGGTGGGGTAGTAAAGGGCAAAGGGGCCGAGTATATGGTGATGGAAGATGATTTGACTTTGGGTGGAGGGCACACAATGTAATATACAGATCAGGTATCACAGAAATGTACACTGGAAACCTAAATGACCCTAGTAACCAATGTCACCCCAATAAATTTAATTTTAAAATTTCCTAATAAAATGGTTGGGAGCAGATTTTGGTGTCTGACTATACATTCCCATTGGCCAGATGAGAAATTGGAGGAGCTGAAGAAGTGATCCGCCCACAATTCATTTGGTGACTCGGAGACAAACTTGGTGACACCTAGGCATACTGGATTAGTCCCTACCCTGGCGGGGCCGTCCTGGGGCCAGTCGATTAACCTATCTGAGTCAACTGCCAACTCAGTTAACCTGAAACTCACAACTTGCATCTGCTTCTCGAAGGGAAGGGGGGTGTCACCCCCAAAGGACAGCACTTCTCCTTCTATTTGAGCCCCTATTTGGTCGTACACTGGCCTTGGACATTTGATGAGAGAACCACACATCGCCCACCTCCCGCAAGCCCCCCACCGGAATTGAACCCTGATTCCGGTTTGATTGGGGCTGGCTATCTGTTGGCTTCCTTCATACCCAGCCAGGCCCCTTCCAATTTGCTGGCCTCAAGACCATCTCCCCAAGACACCAGGTGTGCCTGTGGGAGAGTGGGTATGGTTTCTCTCTTTATTCAATGGACCTAGACTTTTCTTGAGCAGAATAGAATGCCAGGCACCATTCTAGGGGTGAGGGATGCCATAATGCACCAGGAAACCTGGGACCTGCCATGGAGGTGGGGAGAAACCAAGGCTAAGAGACCTATTTACTTCCTTGCTCATTATCTGTGTTCCCTAATATATAGTGTGTGTTGGGGAAGGCGGGGGGGACACCAGGGTGCTCTTGGTCACTACTATATTGCTGGCATACACTACACACTTAAACTACATTTCCTGTATGAATGGTCACCCCCTTCCCCTCCCCCCCGCCCCCTG